TATTATTGTAGAGGCTAGTCTATGCATATATATATATAGAATTCTAATCAAAGCTTTCAGTGATATGAGAATAAATGTTTAACTGGATAGGAAGGTTCTAAAAGAAATTTCTCAATAAAGTTGTCTTGACAGAGAACTCAAGATTCAGTCATGTACTTTGTATCAATTTGATTCTTGGCATGTTGTTTCATGGTGTTATGATTTATAGTGCCAGCATTACAAAAATAGCAGGAATGTTTAGTAGTGAACTAAACTTGGTGGTATTTCAAATTATTGTGATATTGTACAAAATAGAATTGTTAATTGTTAGAAATGGGCTTATACATTTGTAAATTGATTGTGAGAGCTTTGTTAACCATCTTACTTTTTATGGTTTATGGTTGATAGCATATGTGATGGTGTCAGAGCATTGACACTCTTTCATGATTAGTTATTTGTCTGACAATTTGGTAGTAATGATTATATGACAGTTTGATAGGAATGAAAGTCTTTTGGTAGTAATGATTGTCTGACAGTTTGTTAGAAATGATATTCTGACAGATTGGTAGTAATGATTGACAGTTGTTAGGGATAATTGTCTGATAAATGGAAAGAATCATGGACTGACAGATTGATAGGAATGATTGTCTGACAGTTTATAGTAATGGTTATCTGACGGTTGTTATTGGTATGAAAAACTGACTGATTGGTAGGAATACTTGTCTGACAGTTTTATAGGAATTATTGTCTGACAGTTTTATAGGAATTATTGTCTGACAGTTTTGTAGGAATATATGTCTGAAAGGCTGGTAAGAATTATTGTCTGACAGTTTGATAGGAATATATGTCTGAAAGGCTGGTAAGAATGATTGTCTGACAGTTTGATAGGAATATATGTCTGAAAGATTGGTAAGAAATATTGTTTGACAATTTGATAAGAATTATTGTCAGATTGATAGGAATGATAGTCTGACAGTTTATTAGAAATGGTGGGGAAAGTTTGATAGGATGTTTATTTGTCAGTTAAACAGAGTTTAAATTATCTAATAGTTTGATAGGATTGATAGTTTTATACTTTGTTAAGATTGATTTGTGTCAGTTTAAAGCAATATGGAGTATGTAAAAGAGAAATGTTTGTTAAATTAGATGACAGTTTTGTTATAGACAGGTAAATTTTGATTGTTTTGGTCAGGATTTTTGAACTGTTGCTAAAGGGATTGTAAAGAAAAGAGGTTTATTAAATTTTGTGTGTAGGGATAGCATCAATTTGCACCATTCCAATTTGCAATCTGACTTCTGTGGTTCCTGTAATTCCACAAAAAATAAGTGTTTGATGAAGTCATTTGATGTCATCAAAGCTTTGTTTTAGTTGAATTGCAGGAACTACAGATGTCTGATTGCAAATTGATGCTATCCCTATACACAAAATTTAAAAAACCTTATATTTAAAAAATAGAAATATAGAAATTCTCTTTACAATCCCTTTAATTTGGTTTCATTTACCTGTAATCTAATAATATTGATAGTCAGATAGTTTTAGATTTTGATCAATAGTTTTCAATAGTTTAACTATCATAATTTAGGTTTAAAAAAAGGAAAAGGGTAACCTACAAGGTGTTCCACAGAATCCATGAAGTTTTCCATACTTTTTTGTGAACTTTAGGGCTATAAATGGACATTGGGAATGATTGTAGATTAAGTTAATAAACAAGACTTAACTTTTTTCTAAAATATTAATTTGATTAAATCACATAGAAATTGACCATTTATAGATTGCATAAGTGGGCTGGATAGATTTCTAAACAGTTTGATTTAATATTTAGTATTTTAAGTAATATTTATTGGATCTTTGGCATTTACTAGTATTGTCTAAAAGAAAGTACTTACTAACATCATTGGATATTGCATCAGTATGATGAATGGACACATAAATAAAATTTAGCTGGGGTATTTATGCACATCTAGACCAAGGAGCAGTCCACCTTTTAGGTAAATTGTAATGTAATCTGGCTCAATTACTGCTTAATCTACCAAAAAGAAGTGGACTGCCCATGTTTATGTTTGGAAAAACTATTTTTACTAGACTGTAAATGGTATTTTTGAGATATTTTTTCAGATAGAGAGCCCACATTTTGTACTGGTACGATTATTGTTATTACTATGAATTGAAAGGTTGTTGAACTCTTCAGAGACATTTAAAGGTATACTACCTCTGAGGATGACCGAAAAACAGAATTTGTTTAACTTGGTTAAAATGAGTGGACTTCCCGGGCGTCATAACTACACCACAGAATCCCTCTATAAGTCCATAAACCATAAAAGTAATAAATCATTAAGCCAAGTAATTTTGAAACATGCTTAGAAGCGTGTTTCAATAATTATTTAGTTTAATTGATATAGTGATTCTATTCTTTAGTTATGGCACCAGGTAAGTCCAACTATGAATATTCGAATACTCGATTTGACCAAGTTTGAGACTTAAATTGTATGTCCATTCTATTTCTAAAAGGTGGTATTATAAGTTAAAAAAGCTTATTGTTAGTAATTTATGTCAGCACTTTTAAACTTTGTTGAATTTCTGCACATGTATATATATATACAGGAAACACATGTTCCTTAGCCAAAAATATAGCAATTTTATATAAGAAGATAAACATCATCAAAAAAGAAAACTGTGTGTACAGCGCTGGAATAAACTGGCACAATCATAGCGTTTGCAAAGTGTATCTCGGTTGCTTCTGAATTCTGAAACCGAACATATACCAAATTTGGTTGTTGACTACATTGAACTAGAATGTTATAAATTACGTACCTAGGGCCTACTCTTTTGTGCCCTCATAATTATTTTTTCGCGTACGTCATTTCGAAACATCAGCATTATGTTGGCCTTCGCGCAGTACAACAACTTTAGTTGCAAACCTAATTAACTTATATTACTCAGTATTCCTTTATAGCCCTAGTACTCCTGAAAGTCTTGAACTGTATTTAGTGCTATTTTTCTTTTTGTAAGCTTATAAATATAATATACATAATAAATTGTATTCGAAATAAAAATTCTCATGTTTCATCCAGGGTTTTATTTGCATTGCCGCCAAAACAGTGACTGCTGTGCCAAGAGGAAAAGTTGTTTATGATACTATCACAAGTTAAGATTTCGGGGAAGACCTGATCAATCCACAGAAACGTGCTTCGTTTCATAAGAAGCATTCAAAAACTTAATAATATAGCTATTTATGAATTTCGATGCATATTCACGTGGGCAATAAGATTAGAAACGTTTATTGAAACACCTTGGAAATCTTTAGAAATACTGCCAATATCAAAATGCACCCGAATAGGTTAAAAACTTATATCATTCTAACAAGCTGATTCTTGCTCGTTTTCCAAAAACAATCCTTTTAAGTAAATCTTGACAAAAACGATGAAATCGTGTAACCTGTAAATTGGTTGTTCCAGAGAAGGTGAATTTTGTCGAAAATATCAATTTAGAGTTGCCAGTGAATCATTGCCGTCGCCCCTGTCCGTAGGTCCGTCCGTCAACATTAGAACAGTAGCACAATTAGCACTATAGAAGGTACAATTTTCATCTGATTTTGATGAAACTTGGTGTGAGCATTGGAATATTGTTAAGATCTCTGTCAAGTTTGATTTTTACGATTTTTCAATGAACTGTTTTTGAGTTAAAAACGCATAAAACGCATAAAATTTGGTGTGATCATTTATATATTTGATATATTGGAAAGGTTTGCATTTGACTAAAAACAAATTGTTCATGTGCTAAATAGAGTCCATTTTTCATTCCATTTGAAACTTTGTGTGATATTTGGAATTGATACGATCTTGAGTAAGGAGTTGATTACTTTTGAGTATTGCATAGAAACTTGACAGATGAATCATTATGTAACAAAGCTGCTTTGTGGACGTATGTTTACCTTGCCTGGCAAGCTATCTATCCAGTTTCTGCTATGGAAACACCTTTCGGGACAGTCAAAAACTTCCAAAAATAGATAATGATCAAATCGAAGACTCTTTTGGCGACCGCTCGTCAATCTTTAACAAATATTTTCAGAACTGCTTGGCCGTACAATTCTACCACGTTTTAGTGATCTTTATTTGATTCCATATCTCGGATGTAGGTAAGTTGGTCACAGGAAATTTGGTTACCGGAAATATGGTCACAGTAATACGGACACAGGGTATTTTGGTCACAGTAATACGGACACAAGGTATTTTGGTCACAGTAATACGGATAGCCAAGCACAAGGGATGTATACCAGTTTCTTTTTAAAAGATTTTGGTATGTGGAAGCTTGGTACTAAACCTTCCGTTCCTCGATCAGTAACATAACATTTATTTAAAACTAGTCCTGTTTCTACAGGCATAATGAATAGTAGGTACATATAAATTCAATTGGCATGGTCAATAATAAATCACACGATAACGCGGAAACAGTTATCCTAATGGACGTTCTCGGGAGAGTTAATCCTATAATCCGATCCAACATGAGACTTTTTCATGGTGTGGTTTTCGTGGAATTTTGGGTTAACACACCAGCAACAGAACCAACCATAAATACCTTCATAAAAGAGATAAATGGCGTTGAATAAGTCACACCACATG